TGAGTAGAATTTTTGGGGTATTAAAAATAAGTTATCGGTAATTATGCCTTCTATGCTGCTCTGAAGTAAGTAAAAGGCAGTACGGGCCTCAAAGGCCCTCTAGGGGAATGGAAGGAGGTAGCTACCAGGGCCAGGGGCAGCAGCCCATTCAGCGAAGGGTATCGACCCCAAGGGTTGCACCAACCCTAAATGTAATAGGAATAAGCAAGGGTTGGACGGTGGCGGTCCAGAATAAATTGACTTAGCAACAAAACGGTATGAATAGACTTCCTATTCATCACAAAGCTTTTGAAAGTATCGCGAACGATCTTAACAGCGTTTTGAAAAGATATGCTTGGAAATATCCGGATATCCAAAACAACACAAGAGCACATACACTGTAGAAGCTGATCATAACAGGTCACTGAAATAAATTTATTGATAGTCATACAGTGGATTAATCTAATAATTTGAATGAAGACGTATTTATCTGTTCAAATTCGCCGTTTCTCCGATTATTCAGCATTAAATTTCAGAATTCAGTAAAATTTATTGAGTGAGAAGATATTTCTATAATAAATTTTTTTGAGGTTCTGCCGGATTTGCTAAATGCTGCTGTGGAATGCATTCCGGATGGATGTATGATGCGACTGGGAATGACTAATCCACCTTATATACTCGATTTTCTTGAAGTATATTTTTTTCTTAAAATATATTTTCTGGTTTTTATAGCAAATCTTTTTTCTACAGGAAAAGGCGGTACGCATATTTCTAAGAATTAATAGACAAGTGCTAAAGTTGTGCATTTCAGGTTGGGAAAAGTCCAAAATAGCTGCTTTTGATGCATGAAATCATCCCAGTGACGTCACAAGTCCGAAACTATTCTGGAAAATTCTGGAAATTTGCCATTTTAAAGGTCGAAAGTATTTCCCCTTCTAAAATCCCACTAAAACACTTTCCGAATTTCAGGATATTGCAAGGATTTTGAATCATCCACGTGTTTATTCGTTTCTGCATATCCCGGTGCAATCGGGCAGTGATGCCGTATTATCGGATATGAAACGTGAATACACATGTGCTGATTTTTGTCGTGTTGCCGATTATATGATTGAAAAGTAAATTGTTACTGAATCTTCCTCATCGGGATTAGTTAGAAATGTCTAATTTAAGCAATTTTTGAGAAATGCTTTTTTTTAAATTTTTATTAAAAACTTTGAGAGGAAATAGAGGAAGGGGGGGGGGGGGGGGGGGGGG